ATTCCATGCGAAGGGGGATTCTTTTTCTCCGTTCTGTCGTCATTCGAAGATAAGAGATATAACACTACAACACCTCAACACCCAAAATTGATGAAACGTGCCGAGGGTGTCCATTCTGCGGTTTCCTCCTGGAAAGAACATCACTAACATTTCATGAATGTAGTTGAAGATTAATATAGAGATGAACTATTCAGTTCAAATTGATGTTCAATACACTCATATCAATTTCTAATTATATTCATTTCTAGCTGAATCAGATACATATGAAAAAAAAAGAATTATATTTTAAGTTATGCTTGACATATTGTTCAATGAAATGATTTTCGAAAATATTCGTTAGATTTTGAGAAGTTATTATTTGACAGATGAGGCAAACAACAAGCTTCATCATGAGTGCATCAAACTATTTTATTATGTCTTGTTTACGAGTCATAACGATGGTTCGCAAAACAACGAAAGTGGACAATGATTTTATTCAGTATTAAATAGTATAGGATTAGACAAAAGCGAAAACTACAAAAATATCATATTTCGTTATATAATTTATGTACCAACATTGAATGAAATTTATGTCGACGAAAAAGATAAAACATAAGTAATAATCTAAAATGTATTATTGGATGTGGAAGTGGTTTTTCAACATTAAATTCTTTAGATATAGGTGAGTATTTGTCTGCATTAAAACTTTTTTGTGCAAGGTTTTTGAAGCCTATTCCCTGAATTGTTTTAAATGATCTAGAATCAAGTGCTGCAAATTCAACACAAGCACCTTTGATTTCCTGCTTTATTTGATCTGGAATAGCAGGTTCATTTTTTGAAGATGCATAAAATTGATTGATATTTGTCTGATTATGAGAAACTGTAGTTTTGCTCTTTTGACAGCTACTAATATGTTTAGATAAAGAATTACTACCAGAAGATGGTTTATAAATAAGTAAATCTTCACATTGATGGCAGATAACATGTTCCAGTTTGATATCGTTAACATAAATACGACTAAAACTATCCCATACAGCCGAAGATTTTTGTGTTACTGTTGGTTTGACAATTCTCAACGACGAATTTCTTTTATCAATTAATTGCTCAATTTTTTTTCGTTAACGTGGTTTGCTTTTCAATAATGGAAAAGCTTCAATTTAGTGACCGTTTAGTAGTGAAAAAATGAACAACAAGAAATAACTGTACATTCACTATATTTTTAAAGTGGCCAATGAAGAGCTAAAACCGTATACCTTTATCTGTTCATGTACACAGAGGGTGCCAGATATTGGTGAGAAAAAGAGCGAGTCCGAGTCGGGTCCGGGTCTGAATATTTAGCTTTTCCGGGGTCCGGGTCTGAGCCAGGGTCCAAAAAAACATGGACCCGCATCTCTCTACTCTATGTCTATCATCAATTCAACTAGCATTGTTGTCATATAAATCTTTTTATCAGGACTTCTGCTCCCACAGTAAAACATTATCTCATCAATGAAGGCAGACAAAAATAAGTTAGTTAACATTTATCGTCGACTGATTAAAATTAATCGTACTTTCGCTCAAGCTGATATCGATAACAAAATAAAAAAACCAAAATCGTTAGAATCTACTTTGTTTTATATTCAGATTATACGAATACAAGTCCGAATTAACGAATATTGGTCGTCAATTATCAGACCTAATTCATCAGTAACAGAAGAAAAAAAGAAATCAGCTTGTGAATATCTAGTTCTATTTTGATTCAAGATTATCTCATATAACTAAACAATGACGATTTTTGCTGTTGCATTAGAACTATTTAGTCATCAACTTGACCAAAAGAAATAAGGTAGTAAATATCCATTTTTGCTGTGATTCATATTCTCATATAAACCCCTACTGACAATCTTTGATCATATATTATGACTGAAATCCACCAATAAGAAAAGAAAAAGAAAATAGCTACTTAGTACTTATTTTCACTTTTATTTTAATTTCTCCTGTATAAGTTCAACTTTATGGTCTACCCGTACATTATCAGTATTAACTCATTAATAAGAAAAAAAACAAGCCAAACAATACATATTCGCATTGGTTGAATTTTTATTTATCTAAATCGAAATCGAGAACCTGTGCTTGTATTTTATCAGTATTAATTCATCAATACGAATATAAAAGAAAAACATTACTAAATATGAATTTCCGCTTTCATTCGAATTCTTCTCATATAAACCCACCCCCATTTAACACCCTTTGCTCGTACATTATGAGTAAAAATTGACCACAAAGTAGAAATAGATAAATAAGCTAGACACTACTTGTTTTAACTTTGCTTCACATTGTTTTATAAAAAATATCTTATTTCACACTAATATGACTCAGAGTTGGAACCGGTCCGGCAGTCCGGCTCCGGTTCGGCCGGACCGGACAAGACCGGATGAAAAATTAAACCGGCCCGGACGAAACCAGATTTTTGCCAGTTCATAATATTGAAATTAATCCTTGTATTTCAAAGTTTTCTCCGACGACAACAACTTTTATTCGCTTTTTTTGCGTTGAAATATTATGTCAGCGATTATTAGAAATTCCACGTGAAAAAGAGAACATATGTCGAAAATATTTGTACAAATTCATGTACATGCATAGCTTCGATTGTATTTAGTAGTAGTCGCTTTTGATCGTAATTAATAAACCAGTCGGATTTTTGACGAATTTTTGCCGGATTTTTGCCAGTTTGACGTCAAAAATGAACCGGCCTGATTTCAACCGGGCCGGACCGGACAAATTTTGAAGTTGGCCGGACCGGATCGGATGGAAAAAATCCGTCCGGTTCCAACTCTGATATGACTAACACAACGAAAACCAAAGTAGTCAATATCTATTTTCACTTGTTGGTCAATCATATTTAGAACTAAAAAAATCATAATTAATATCTGCCAGACAAAGGTACTCATTTTTAACGAAATTAATATTATGCCGAATTGATGCTAATAAGCTTTTATTAAAGCATTTATTATATTGAACAGTACGAATTGTATACATGCGACTTCATCTCCTGTAAGAATACATATTTATTATTTATGGAAAAACCACAATATTAGTAAACATATCTTCTACACACTTCTAGAAATCCGCTGAAATATACTTAAATGATAAACATGTTTCCTTGAAAGATGACAACCTTTCTATATTCAAGCAAATTTTTCACAACAATAAACTCTGTATCGAAGTAAACATGATGTCATCAAAAAAAAAATTCATTGAACTTCTTTACCACAAAAGTCTCCAGTCAGAAACAGCTTCACTCCTCTACCAACGACAGCAAATGTATTGAAGTCCAAAGCTTTTTGTTGGATTCCCTTAAACGGTGCCCACATCTCATCAACAAGTAGAGTCCTTTGTAAATTGCAGTAACTATGTACAATGAAAAACTTTTCAATTGTCAAAAGCTAACGTCCTCTAGAAATTGCAGTAACTATCTAAAGCTCATAAACCCAAGGGAAGAAAAGCGGTTCCTGATGGTTTCTAGGATCCACTAGGAACTGTCACAACCACCAGAAACTGTCAGGATCCATCAGGATCCATAGGATACATCAAGATTAGGGTAGTCATTTGCTATTACGTTACCAAATAACGAGCAATGAAAATGTTTTGAGTTTCTTCTTCCATCAGGGATACTCTATTTTTCGAAAATAACGGAATTTAACAAAGATTTATCAAAGGTTGTGGAGTACAGGAACCCGAATCTATAGCTGTTTCCTCATAATTTGTGTGTTTGTTTCCTTTAGCAAACCTTCCATAGATTCGAATATTTCAACCCGGCAAGTTTTTTATCAAACATTGTAAAAATCGTCATTTTCGAAAGATAGACTTTTTCTGAACCAAAAAACCAAAAATCATTTAAATCTGGCTGTTACCATCTATCCATAACCTTTGACAGACAGACACGATATATTACTTACAATGATATGATCCGGATTTTCTTCTTTGATCTAAGATGAAGGTAGTATTTTGTGAGCCACATTAGTTTCCAGTGTACTTC